GCCGTCGGTATTTCTGGAAGCTCCTACTTCTGACACGTGTGGCTGCCGTCTGATGTCACACATACGCACTACTACACACGCACCGTCGCCATCTTTTTGTTCCCATCATGGCCGAAACCGGAGATCCGACCGGCTTCAGTCCTTTCGACTGTTTTTGACGAATTAAGCGATCTAGTATAGTATAGACATCTGTGGCGCTGCATCAACGGTCCGCGCGCGCGAGGCACGGTGACTGCCGCGGTGCATCGGACGGTGTTCTAGCGCTAGCAATAGTCATCGCCGCCGTCGGCAACAGTAATCTACTGCATCCTGTGCCTGCCTGTCGCCGCGTACTATCCTAAATAAAGAATCCATTTATCATATCCTGCCGAACACCAGCACATATACGCGGTATTGCACGTGGCAGGTATAGATTATGCGCCGCGTGTGTCGACGATCGCGCGAGCGGAGTGTAGCACACAGTCGCACATTATTTTTCTTCTATTCTCGTGCTATAAGTAAAGCGACAACGTGCCGGTCATCGCACGCAAGACCGGTGCGTGCACTCCGCCGCGCACGCGTCACTGCACGTGCACGCGGTGCATCAGCTGTCGCGATGGCGGTAAGCGTAGGCTGATCTTGCTCAGAGAAGGTAGGTATTTGTTCGAGTGTGAATGTCGCGGAGTCTTCATGCCGAGAAGCGATTGCCGTAAAGTAAGTATACGCGTCGCGACTTTAAACCGTTATCAAAGTTAAAAGTTAAAGTTAAAGTTTTAAAGGTAAAGTCAGTGAACTGCCAGTGCGACTGTCAACACACTCGCAGAATTTCTCTAAGTTCTCAGTTTGATCGTTTCTAGTGCGAGTGTGTTATAGTCATTGATTAAAAGTTACTAGATCGAGCGGGGTTAAGGATCGGTGCGCAAGCATATGCATATTAAGCCCCGCTCACAAGCAGTCGCGCAGGCAGCCAATAGTGCTCTGCGATAGTGCCGCGAGTGCATCTAGTGCAAATTAAAGGCAGCCTCGCGCGGATTGGCCATATCGTGACATCGGCACAGAAATGGCTGATCCGCATGAACATAATATCCTTTACCTGCTGCCCCCGCGAGTTAAATGCGGACGGTGTTTTGGCACTGCGGGGGTAGTGAGTAAGGGAGTATTCAGCGATCCGGCGCATTTAGCGAAACATTTGAAAAAGTGTCATGCGGGGGACACATTAAGTTATTCTTGTTCCGTATGCAACTTCAAAGGGGTAGGTAGATACCCCCTTAAATCAGTTAAGGCTCACTTTGAGCAGAGTCATGCGCCCCCCGCACACAATGCGCCGGGTACGAGCACTCGTGGCACCCTCGGCGTTCAAAATAGTGGGGCCCAATCAGGAGCGTCCGTTGCTCCCCGTGCGGCCACGCGATTGGCGGAGACGATTAACACCAGCAATAGACGGCGGCAACGTGGATCCGCGGCAACCCACGCTGCCGTTTAGAGCCACGCCACCCTCTGCATCATCGGTGGAGGCGCTGAGATCGTCCGTGTCCCCCTCATTTGCGGAAGTTACTGCGGGCTATCGAGAGGTACAACGACATCCATCGCCGCCCGCAGTACTGCCGCATCACGCGCCGCGCCTAACAAGACGACCACAGCCACGACTGCAGCCAGGAGATCCGGCGAGGCCGCCGCAATGAGGATGTCGCCTACGACCGCCATGATGAGTGGTCCACGCGTTGTATCGGTCGACAAAATTAGGTTGCCTGAGGTTCTCAGCCAACTAAGAAGGATGGGCGTGCGGAGAACGACATCGGCACGCGCTCCCTCTCGCCCCCCGCTAATTATATCACCAATGGCGGGGGATACAAGGACGAAATGCGGAGAGGGAGCAACGAGGAAATTGCCCGCCAGGACTTCACCACCGGTCTTTGCTAGGACGAGGCGGGCAACTAGCGTGCCGATAGAATGCAGGGAAGGCACTGCAAGGTGGGAGCGCGTCTCCCCACACCCTCCTCCACTTGTTCATTTAACATCATCGGACTCGGAGGAGGGCACGCCAAGGAACACCGGCGGCGTTGGGAGACAGAAGAGGAAGGTGACCGGTCCACCCCCCGCATCTACCAACTACGCGGGGGTGATGACGCGGTCACGGAGATCATCGAGCGCTCCCATTGAGAAGAGTGCCCTGGAAGCACGCCTATCAGCACTGGACAGGACATCGTCCAGTGCGTCAGGCAACTCGGCGTCGCGACGCGCGGGGGGCTTTAACATTGCACGAAGAAGTCCCCCCTCAAGGATGCCCCCTGCGCAGCCCCCCAGCCTGCCACTGACCACCAGTGGTAGTCCGTCGGGGGGCTACGTCTCGCCCGCGACGTCGCTACCGACGACACTCACGTGCACGGTGACAACGACCACCTGCGGAGGCTCTATTCCATCCACGGGCTTCGCAGGTGGCATGGAGAGACACTCTACATCGCCGAGCCTCCACTAGATAAATTCCCTCCCTACCATAGGGGAGGAAATATTGTCGCCGTTCGTGGCGGTCGCAACTCCACCAACAGGCGGCTACCAGAGGACCCCGCGGATGTCACCAGGGCCATCGACATCGGAGCCTGAGCGGGGACAGCAGGAGCGGTGGCAGCAGGTGGGCGCGGCGCGCCCATCACTGTCACCGGTCGTCGAGGGGGACAACCAATGGGGTGGCGTGTGGACGGTCAGCGTGGGAAGAAGAGCGAGGAGGAGGAGGCTCAACGCCACCACCGGGTCCCCTCCCTCTAACCCTGAGTCTGCGCCATTCGCTGGCAATAATACTGTATTATTATATGTAATACTGTAAGTCCCACGCGCGCGGCCCCACTATCCGCGTTAATAGTAGCATCGATGGATGCCCACAATCGTACTCTAAACTTAAGTGATTGCAATAATAATTTTGAGAAAACGCCGTCCCCTGTGCAACTACCCATAAGGGCGGAGAGGCGTCGGGAGACATCGCCGGAGGACCACGTGGGAGGAGACACCGGACACAGTGCTGAAAGCGAGGTAGGTGCCGGACATTCGAGTGCTCCCCTATATTCCCGTGGTGTGATGCCTCGAGGGAGATGCGCTCCATCGTCCGTCGTACCGCCGCGAGTTGCGCGTGAGGAGGGCGATCGGCAGCGCCATGGTCGGCAACGGGTGGAGGCTGTGGGTGACCGGCCGTCGCGCGATCACCCGGCGCCTGCGACTGTCGCGAGACAGCGTAGGCGTGAGCGGGTGGCCGCGCGCGACATGCTCGTCGCACAGGCTGAAGCCGTTGCTTCAATTGCGGACTTGGAGGCGTTCGCGACTTCGGTCGCGACGTTCTTCAGGGAGGATGCATCGGCCCCCGGTGCTGCAGGTAGCACTCGTGATCGTTCGGTTCGTTCGCGGGAGGCCGGTGCGCGTCGGATGGTGGGGGGTGGTGAACGCTCGGAGAGGGAGGGCGCTGATATGCCGGGGTCGGCGACAGCTGGCCCTGGACCGTCTCAGAGGGACAGCGGGGACTGGGTGCGCGAGGCGAAGCGCATACAGGCGCTATACAGAGCGAACCGCCGCAAAGCAGTGCGATAAGTGCTCCAGGGCCCTGCCGATCAGTGCCAGATGCTTAAACGCCAGGTCCAGGAGCACTTTGAGCGTGTATACAGCTGCGGGGAAGATCTGGCCGGCGCCAGCGCGGATAACAAGCGCGCTGACCCCTCGGGTTCGCAGGAGGAGTTCGCGCATCTCCTGGATCCCCTTACGGAGCGAGAGGTGGACCGTCGGCTTCGACGCATGAATAACTCTGCGCCGGAGCCTGACGGTGTATCTTACCGTGACCTCCGTGGGGCGGATCCGGGAGCGCAGCTCCTCGCAGCGATGTTTAACATCTGCTTGCAGCTCGAGACGGTCCCCACTACCTGGAAGACCTCCAACATGGTTCTTATTTATAAGAAAGGAGACCGGAACGTGTTGGAGAATTGGCGTCCTCTCGCTTTGGGCGACACCGTCCCCAAGCTGTTCGCCGCGCTCTTGGCTGACCGATTGACCAACTGGGCAGTCGCTCACGGGCGACTCAATAGCGTACAGAAGGGCTTCCTGCGGGACGAGGGGTGCTACGAGCACAACTTCGTCCTGCAGGAAATCCTGACGCACGCTAAGAGAACCAGGCGTCAGGCGGTCGTCGCGTGGCTGGACCTGTTCAACGCGTTTGGATCGATCCGCCGGGCGCTCGTAAGATCTGCGGTGCCACGGAGTCTCATAGCGATATGGGACTCTATGTACGACGGATGCACGACGAGGGTGCGGACCGCTGAGGGTCACACAGCACCCATCTGCATCCGGTCGGGCGTACGACAGGGTTGTCCGCTAAGCCCTACAATATTCAATTTGGCGATTGACTCGGTCCGTGCGGCCGCCGAGTCTGACGACGGGTATTCCCTCTGTGGGAGAGCCTAGTCCGCCTTGGCTTACGCGGACGACATAGCACTTCTATCAGAGACGCCTGAGGGGATGGAGGGGTTGCTGGCCGCCGTGGAGGCGGAGGCTGCGTCGGTAGGATTGAGGTTCAACTCTGCAAAATGTGCCACCCTGCACATCGGTGCGGGCAATGGCGGCAGGGTCCTGCCGACGCGATTCTGCATTCAGGGCGGTGACATTAACCCCCTGGCTGAAGGTGAGTCTTACGCTCACCTTGGCGTTCCAACGGGCTTCTCCGTTGATCAGACGCCCTACGCCGCTGTCGGGGACATCGTCTCCGACCTGACCGCTCGCTCCTTGCCCCTTGGCAGAAAGTCGAAATCCTCGGCACATTCATCTTGCCGAGGCTGGATATTTTGCTGCGGGGGGCCAAAATAATGAAGGGTCCCCTCAAGGCTGCTGACCTCAATATCTGGAGGCACGTCAAATCCTGGCTCAACCTCCCTCAGCGTGCGAGTGCGGAGAGAGTCTACATGCCGCCCAGATGAGGGGGATGTGGGCTCCTTCCGCTCTTTGATCTCGCCGATATCCTTACGGTGGCTCACGCGTTTCGTATGCTTACGATGCGCAACGACGCCGTGAGGGAATTGGCGTGGGAATCGCTGAGGGGAGTGGTTGGGCGCAGGGTCGGCCACGCCCCTAGTTGCGAGGACATCGCCTCCTTCCTATCCTACTGGCTGGAGGGAAGGATGAGGGGCGGAGGGGAAGCTTTGCTCTGGTCTAGCGCGCGAAACGCTGCGCTCAGACAGTCGAAGAGGCTGTTCCTGCAGTGGCGGTGGGTTGGTGAGACGGGGGAACTGTTATTGGAATGTCTCGGGCCGCGGGGGGCAGCGGTTAAGATTCCGCCTGATGCACGCGGTCAGGTAGTGAATCGGTTGCCCTCAACTGTAGCAGAGCACTACGCGCATAGGTTGCGCAGTAAACCGGACCAAGGCAAGGTCTTCGAGGTGTCGTCGCGCAGTCGAATGAGCAATCACTTCATGCGCGGCGGTAGCTTCACTCGCTTCGCCGACTGGCGCTTTATTCACGAGGCCAGATTAGACGTTCTTCGCCTCAACGGTGCGCGGCGTTGGGGAAGCGAAGATAAGCGCTGTCGGCGGTACGGTGAGGTATCGGATACATTGCCTCACGTGCTCTGTCACTGCGGCGCCCACTCCGCCGCTATACAGCTGAGGCACAACGCTGTCCTGCACCGCCTCTGGAAAGCGAGTAGGCTTCCAGGGGTGGTGCGGGTTAACCAGCGGGTCGATGGCGTCGACGGGGAACTTGCAGGGCTCCGGCCTGACCTCGCTGTCAGGCACGAGCTCTCCAAGATCGTCGTCATTTACGACGTCACGATGCCCTTTGAAAACCGTTGGCAGTCTTTCGATGACGCCAGGGCGAGGAAAATTGCCAAGTACTCGCCCTTGGCTCGTGGGATCCGCGCAACGAGGCAGTCTTGAAGCTGCTGCGGGTTGGCACCTCGTATGCGGCGATGATGAGACGCCTAGTTGTATCGGATACTATTCGCTGGTCACGGGACATATACGTCGAGCATGTGTCCGGCATCCGCCAGTACTTGGCTCCTCCCCGTACCTCTGGGGATCATCTCGCGACGCCTCCAAGGGCAGTCCGTCGACGCTGGAACGCTGAGGAACGCAGAGCACAAGATGCGACGCGTCGCGTTTCGCCAAGTATGAGTGTGGCGTAAGTTATTTCGTCTATTTCTTGGCCCCCCTTTTTATAACCATGCGGGAGGGAGTTTCTTTATGTCCAGCACCTATAGGAGAGAGGGTTCCCATACCGACCGGGCAAACCATACCGACCCCCCGCGTTTCTCAGAAATGGCGTTGCTGGTTGAATTTTTACTAGTGTCACTGAAAAGCGGTTATCCTACTGATAATTTGAACGTATGTTGCAATCTTCACAAATAATTTTGTTTGAAGTTATTCGTCGTGATATGTTTTAACAACGGTGCAGTTTTTTTCTGACTTATATCGGAAAACGAGTTAAATGTGTTTGTAAGCTTGAAAAGCATCGAAAGGTAAGTCATTTTTATTGGTTTATGGACCATGTTAAATATATGCCATGGATATTAGATCGCATTAGTTGTCATATGGGAATGGCGAGTCGATATGTGAAAAAAGTGGGAATGGTCCAAAAGCGAGATTTTTGTCCAAAAGCGACCCCCTTTTTTTGCATCGTAATTGTCTATAGTATATTTTCGGAGAAAAAATGTGTTTAATAATGATTTCTGTCAATCAAACAAGAACCCAAATGGAACCACAGCCGTCGACGAGTGGTCTCAATTGTCGCACTACTCGTAGGAAGAATAGGTATTTGTAGTTATATTATGATACCGAAGACAGCTCAGACTACAGCGATTGATGTTTATTTCTTTGTGATTAACAGTTTATAAAATATCATTAAAATGTACTTTAATAAAGTTAAAAACAAAAATTTCATTTCATAAAAATGTAATGTATTATTAATAGGGCGTTCAGACCATATAAGGATCGGTTCAAAACCACGATTTTTGGCACGTCAAAAAACGAGACTTTTGCCTTGCCTTCTGTATCTTCATTTAATGGCACACAAAATTCACACCGGTGGAAAACATAGGAAAATATTCCCTCGACAGAAGCCAATTTGGAAGTTGGCATAAAATTAATTTTTGGCAGAGTTACAACCTTTACCATTTGCCCGGTCGGTATGGGAACCCTCTCCCCTATATGGCGTTACTCGCCAGGTTATTTTATTTTTAATCTAACAAAGAAAGGACAATAAGAGTCAAGTAGTAAATAAAATAAAATAAAACGGTTAAAACATTTAAATAACTTTAGCTGTGTATATACATAAAAATAATTGAAATACAAAAATAAATTAGAAGTACTTAGCCGCTTATGATGTTATAAAAATGATAAAAACGCAAATATGTAAAAAACGCAACAAAGTTTCGACTCTTGGTTTGAGTCCTCTTCAGACGTTCAACAAAAATTCATTATTACAATATGATTGAGCCAACACAACCTCTCACTGACTCCTCGATTTCTCTCTTCGTTACAACATTGACAATACAAGATGGCAAAGTCGTATATTGAAACAATGTATCTGTAACTTGGCATGAGAACAAAATCAAAAGATGTGAAAATAATGAAATTCAAAAAACAAAACAAAAAAATTTTTTTTAACTCACCAGCGAAAACGATTAGTCAGTTTACAATATGAAAGTTAAATAAAGTAAAAGAAATCATAGAGTAAAATTAACAACAAAGTAATAATAAAAAACATTTTCACAAAACTTATTATATAAAATATGCAACGTAATACGAATGCAAGGAAGTGTACTAAATCCTTTAACTGTCTAGCAAGTACTGTGATATAACAACAACAAAACGAAGCAGTGTGTCGATTGTCGATAATAAAAGATCAAACCTTATTTACAATGGGAATATATGAATCGTAAAGACCTTCAGTGTCCGTTTGTAAATTAAGACTATTTTTCTGCTTTTTAATGTTAAGCATCTCAGAAATTATTCGCTTTCTATAATTAAGTTCTTCATCTAAAATTTTAACATCTTCCCATTGAAAGTCATGATCATATTGCAATCTGTGATCCGTTATAACCGAACGGTTAGAAGTATTATGTCTGTAACTACCTGATTTTTATACTCGGACTAGCTCGTCGGAAAATTTGCGTGTCGTATAAAAAAGGTTCGGCGGAAGGAGTATTCGCGTCGGAACGGGGCGGCGGAAAATTATGTGAAGCGTCGGAAATCGATAAAGAAAATACTACTGCGAAAGTAATAGTTAGACAAGAAACATAGTTTATTAAGACAAGCTAGATGATACGGAAATTATAATAATCGAAGAGAAAAATAACATATAGGAATATATAATTAACGGACGCGACTTACAATAATACAGCGAAGAAAATAAACGAGCGCGGGTAACAGAAAATATATATATATATATACAAACGAGCGCGGACAACAGAAAAGAAATGTATATATATATTAACGCAGAAAACGGACGCGGACTCTACAACGAAAACTAACTCTAAACGGCGCGAGATATATACCGGCGGTCGCGGGTTTTCTCGACGGCGATCTGCAACGCGGCGGAACGCGGGTATACGCCAGCAAGCGTCGTTTCGCGGCGCGATACGTAATTTTGGCAATGCTAGGAAAGGGAACGGAGTTGGTACTTGACGGCCGGGAACGCCCGACAGAGGCAGGGAGCGCCCTACCCCTTTTCGAATGTCAAGTACCAAGACGGGATTTTCGGGATGCGGAAAAGAAGGTAAGGAAGGTGGGAGTACTAACTAATTACGGTTGTCCGGCGGCCGGGAACGCCCGGCAGAGGCGGGGTACACCCCACCCCTCAGGTTCGTCGGAACAACACGTGAATCTGGTTGCGTGCTCGAGATGCGTTTCCTGGACGGCTCGTTCGGCGGCCGGGAGCGCCCGGCAGAGGCAGGGTACACCCTACCCCTCAGGTTCGTCGGACGAGCGAGTCGATGGATCGGTATCGTGAGCTAAGGAACTGGTAATCGGATCGGATGTATCAGGAAAGCGGTGAAGACAAAAATGCCTCGCGCGGCTTGATATCGCGGTATCTTATACTCGACCGCCAGTCTCGCTCGCAATACTTCGGCCGGTCGCGGTATTTTCCGCCGATCGGCTTCTCGTGGGAGAAGATTTCCGATCGGCGGTCCCCGACGACGGTCGGTACCTTTCGGCGAGACTGGCGGTTCTAACGGGAGCTGCTGTTCCTGCGAATTACTCTAACATACGAGCAGGCTACTCGCTCCTACTCCCGTTGGCACCACGCGGGAACGATGCATTTTAGGGGGGCATCGTTACATGTCTAATATGGCTGCGGTGTTCATTAATTCTTGTTTTCAGCTGCCTTCTAAACCAAGAGTCGAAACTTTGTTGCGTTTTTTACATATTTGCGTTTTTATCACTTTTATAACATCATAAGCGGCTAAGTACTTCTAATTTATTTTTGTATTTCAATTATTTTTATGTATATACACAGCTAAAGTTATTTAAATGTTTTAACCGTTTTATTTTATTTTATTTACTACTTGACTCTTATTGTCCTTTCTTTGTTAGATTATTATATTATTTTCATATAAAGAGTCCTTCAACTTTAATTTTATTTGTATTTTATTTTTATTATTTTTATTACTTTTATTACTATTTTTCTTATTTATTATTTGGTTTGCTGGACGGAGATCCCTCCTTGATGGTTTTTTATTTATTTATCTATCTATTTATTTACCTTGTTTTATATTTATAACTTATATTGATTTTGTAGCGTCGCTATTATCTTTCTTCCTCCTTCTTCTCTTTTTCCTTTTTCTTTTTCTTCTTTCTATTCTTTATTTCTTTCTTCTCTTTATTTCTTTCTCTTCTTTCTATGTACTATTGTACTCTTTTACTTTTAACACTTTTAGCTATTCTTTCTTCATTTTATTCTATCTGTCTGTGGGGCCCTGAATGTGCGAAAGTGAATGCCGCGAATATTATTATTGTGTTTTATATGAGGATGAATGTGCGCGATTTACATATGTATTTTTATCTATGATAATTTTGCCGCGCGTGCTCCCCCGGGCTTTTATTTTCTAGACAAACATTCTGTGATATACCCGGGGGAGCGCTGTATCTGTGAAGACGCATCCGCCCAGTCTACCAGCTGGGCGGATTAAATTATATGTGATATTTTACCGCTGGCTGGGGGAATGCGTCCCCCAATCATTTAGTCTTAAAGCCCATGCGAGGGGGGGGGGGCTCCTTGTCCCCCGCAATAAACATATTTTCCTATTCTTGCGCGCGGCATAGCCGCTTTTTTATTGTACTTGTACCCCAGCGGGATATGCCCCTCTGGGGAAGTTATTTGAAAATAAAAGTGAGCTAACCTATAGTACCAGAAGCGTCTATTTTGACGGTACTGGTTTGTAATACCATATGCATGTATAAAAATAGTTTGTTGTAAATGCCAGAAGCGTCTTTTTTGACGGTACTAATTTGTATAGTCATGTGCATGTATATAATATTTTATTATAAATGCCAGAAGCGTCTATTTTGACGGTATTGGTATATGGAATAAATCTAATCAGAGACATCTAATCAGACGATACTGATATTTATCAAAGGCGTCTACTCTGATTATGGCTAAATAAACATCAGAAGCGTCTATTTTGATGGTACTGATTTGTATAGTCATATGCATGTATATAATATTTTATTATAAATGCCAGAAGCGTCTATTTTGATGGTACTGGTAAAATAAATATCAGGGATAAAAAACGAAAACGTTTGTGGTAACTGTTACAGCAAAATTTATGTCAGAAGCATCTTTTAGGATGGTACTGATTTATACTGCCATATACATGTATACAATACTTTGTTACAAATGCCAGAAGCATCTGTCTTGTCGGTACTGGTCTGTATCA